TTTCCGATAATCTCGATAGTGTTTCTGTGAGATCGAGGGATGAGGATTTCCCGGACGAGATAAAGATGCCGTTATTGAGGGATGGGGAAAAGATGACATATGCCCTTGGAAGTTGCCGGAGAGTAGTATGACTGGTGGTGATGTGGACCCCGGTTTGGAGTACGAGCTGGCGGCATTGAGGGAGGCGAGTGGTTCAGGTTTTACGTATTTGCTTGGGCATGGTGACGTGAGGGCGGCGAAGAGTTCGTTTTTCGTGAAGAAATTGGTGGTGAATTATTTTTATGCTTTTCTGAGGAGGAATTGTAGAGGGGGTGCTGCTACAATGAGGGTTCCTCATATGAATGTAATGAGAGTAGAAATGACTTACATGGTTTGAATTTTTATTTTTTTAAATCATTAAATATTTGGTGGGAAAATTAGTGCTACATTGTATGAGACATATGATTTATAAGTTATGTTTTGAATTTAATTATGGATCTTGATATTTACAAGATTCAATAGACGAATGAAATTCGATCATATTTTGTAATTCGATAATATTTTTTAGGTTGAACTTAGTGAATTATTGAATTAAAGGGCCTATCCCAATTTTCTTGAATACAGGTGACAAAATTGAATTGGTCCAAATCATTAAATTTGGACCACTTTTTCTTATGGGTAGGGTCAAATTGCAGACAAAGTTGCCACGTGTGATGAACTTATACCAAATTATTTATCAACATGTTAACAAAATCTCCCCTAGTGGTGTCAATTTTCTGAGCATCATTAAAAATATTGACTTGTTCAATTTTCCAGCATCATGTTGCACTCAAAGAATTAGGTCATGAAATTAAATAAACAAAATAAATACATTAGGTGTACGTGCACCTAAGTCTAATTAATTAATTAACTTATGTTGTTATGGGAATTTGAATTGGGCCAAGTGGGGGTAAATATATATTAGATGATATTCCAATATAAAGTAGTGTAAATTATAGAATAATTAAAAGATCAGTGACTTTTTATCTTTAGTTAAGGAATTATGACATTTTATAGATGGTGATTGTTTGAAATTAAATAATTTGGGTTGAATTGAACTACTACTAGAAGATTAGATACACATAATTAATTATTCATTAAGAAAATAAAGATGGACAATTATTGAGATATTAATATTCATTGACATGACATCATGCATGATTCACGTTTAACTTCCACAACGAGGTTTTTTTATCCTAAAAGTTGCTCGATTTTTCGTTTTCAAGAGCAGTCGTTAAAAGCTCGTCATTTGTTGATCAAAACAAAACATACTCAACGTAGCATTTAAAGTTCGATGGAAATTCAAATAAATTTGAAAAAAAATATTATAATTCAATTCGACTCGATTCGATTCATTTGACTCGTGTAGCCCCATTAGTGGTCTCCGAGTTTGACTCATGCATTGCATTTTCAAATTGCATGGTGTATATTAATTAGTATCGTTGTCAGCTGTTTCAATTACAACCAACTCTTCTGCCCCAAAGGGCCACTTTCTTAATGATTTATTGACAAATAATTATTTTATTTTATTTTAATTTTTTTTATTTAAATATTTAAATATCTAAATATATATAATTTTTTTCTCCAATCAGAATATGGGTCCAAAAGTGGGAGGGGCCAACTTTTATGTTATCCCATTTTCCCCTTTTATGACCCAATGAATTTTCTGTTCGCCGATTTTGATGTTTTACCTAATTTGTTGATATTTATTATTTATGTAATTGTTTAATTATTTATATCATAAGATCATTGTTTTTTTTTTAATAAATTAATATAATTTTAAATCGTAATGGTAATGGTAATAATAACTTAGGTGTTAGACATAAGTAATTTAAATGATTTAGTTATTTAATTATTATACTCTATTTTTTTCGTAGGAGAAAATTAAATGTGAAAATCAAGAAGGGGGCCCTTATTCTTTCTTGCTATAAGTCTTTAAATAAGTTTGGCAAAAGCTAAAGCTGTTTGAAAAAGCGATTTCAATTTGAGTGATAAGTAGCAAAGAGCAACTACTTTGGAAAATTGGGGTCACTTCTCTTAAATTGTGATTAGTGAGAGTGCATATAAAGTTGGAAAAAAAGGGATATGAAATCCTATAAATATCTTTTTATAGTATAAATTTATTTGAATAAATAAATTATTTCGACATCAATACACATCAATTTTGTTTCAAAATTGAAAAAAATTGTGTCGAAATCAATAGAATTCAAAAAATCTACGTAGTAATATTACTGTTATAAATACATTTTCACATTAATTTTTTCAGAAATTAAAATCGAATCGTAATCTCACACGTCCACATGAAATTAGATTATTTTTTTTTAAATTGAAATCGACAAGTTCGAAAATTTTGTTCCAACTTCTGCGCGCAGTGCACGAATTCACCAACTCTACTGAATTTGATGCATGATGGAGTTTGAAAACAATTCGGACCACATTGTCTTTTCCCTTTTCTTTTAGGCCCCTTTTTGAAAATTTGACTGTTTTTATTGTCCCATGAAAAATGTTGGAAATTTGGCCATGTGAAACCCTTTAATTCAAACTTTTGATCTAAAGTAAAAAAGCTACCCAAATTATTCTTTAAATAGGTAATATAATACATTTAAATATTTGACCTAATATCAATTCACGTTACACGCAATCGAGAGTTCAATCTACAAAATAACTCTCCACTAAGCACGCATACACACGAGTGTTTTTCAGCAGATATAAACTCTACAAAATCCAAAATATAAAATAAATTATTATATTATATATATTATCTCTATAATCATTCCATATGTATTTTGTACTTATTTGGAAAGCGATATTTTATCACAAATATTAATTTATATGTTAGGTCCCCCCTCAATAAGACAAGGTGATATTTCATCATTAGTCTATTCTAATAATTTCGATGTAATAAAATTACATTCCAATATTAATATTTTTTTTTTTTAATTCTTATTTTAATATTATTACAAATACATTATAATTTATTACTACTAAAAAGCAGCTTCATTTAACAAAAGAATATTCCTTTTTAAAGAGAAATAGGCGCACTAAGTCTGACCATCACTGTCAAATATATGTAATAAGTTAATTTTAATACTTTCTAAAAAAAAAATTCAAATAATGTGTGTTCTTGAAAGTTCATTACTGGGGTGGGTGGTTTGGCCAAAGGGTCATGGTTGAAATTCTTGAATTTGCAATTTCTGACAGCAGTTTTCAATGGAGATTGAAAGTGGGGTTAATCACAATCAGATAAAGGTGAGTTCTTTTGCTATAAAGTTGCAATCTTTGAAGAATTTGAGCATTTTTAATTTATGGGTTTTTTGTATTGGGGTTGTGCAGAAAGATTCTTGGAAAACAGTATTTACATTGGCTTATCAAAGTTTGGGTGTGGTATATGGGGATTTGAGTACATCACCATTGTATGTATTCAAGAATACATTCGCCGAAGACATCGAACATTCGGAGACAAACGAGGAAATCTTCGGTGTTCTGTCATTCATCTTTTGGACACTAACCTTAATCCCTCTTCTCAAGTATGTGTTCATTGTGCTTAGAGCTGATGATAATGGTGAAGGAGGCACATTTGCTCTGTATTCACTCTTGTGCAGACATGCCAAAGTCAACTCATTGCCTAGTTTCCAATCGGCGGACGAGGATTTGTCGAGTTACAAGAAGGATATAAGAAGCCCTGCACCATCGACTTTCGGGGCAAGGCTTAAATCGAGCCTCGAAAAATACAGAGTGTTGCAGAGGTTTTTGCTCGTTTTGGCTTTGCTTGGTGCTTGTATGGTTATTGGTGATGGTATCTTGACTCCAGCAATTTCTGGTATTTATTTATTTAATTTTTATTTTTTATATGTCGAGCTTTAAATAATCGAGATGTTTTTTTAGCTCCATAGTAATGTTTACGTTCTCGTTTCAGTTTTCTCTGCGGTTTCGGGTGTCGAACTTGCCACGGCAAAGGAGCATCACAAATGTAAGACTAGTAGAATTTTTCGCTCGTTTTAGTTAGTCGAATCTCTTCAAGAAAAAAGTAAATTGTTTACGATTTTGCTATTAGTAAAATATTCGTATCTAACTGTGCAGACATAGAAGTGCCGGTTGCATGTATGGTACTGATAGGACTATTTGCCCTTCAACATTACGGGACCCACAGGGTCGGATTCTTGTTCGCACCCGTTGTAATAACATGGCTTTTCTGCATCAGCGCCATCGGTATATACAATATTTTCCACTGGAACCCTCATGTATATCAAGCTCTTTCTCCTTATTACATGTACAAATTCCTCAAGAAAACCCAACGTGGCGGTTGGATGTCCTTGGGCGGTATCCTGCTCTGCATCACAGGTAATTATAATTTATGACCCCCTATATATACACATATATACATGCACATAGGGTTTTGTTAAACTTATCGGTTAGTTCAAAATTTCCAGGTTCAGAAGCAATGTTTGCTGATCTGGGACATTTTTCCCAGCTTTCAATACAGGTAATAGCTACTGGTTATTTAAAAAAAAAGCTCGTTTTTTTTTTTCGTGAAAGACTTAATTGATTTATATTTGGCATCAATTATATTTGGCATCGTGGAAAAAATGCAGATAGCATTCACATCGATCGTATATCCGTCTTTGATCCTGGCGTATATGGGGCAAGCTGCGTATCTTTCTCAGCATCATGTTATTGAGGATGATTACCGTATTGGATTTTACGTTTCCGTACCTGGTGAGTATATTTTTAGTGCTTTCTTGATTTTCGAAAGTAGTAAAATTTAGATGCTATTTTATTAATTGAATTTTTTCTTGTGTTAAAGAGAAATTAAGATGGCCGGTGTTGGTGATTGCTATTATGGCGGCAGTAGTCGGAAGCCAAGCCATTATCACCGGAACTTTTTCCATCATTAACCAGTGTTCCGCTCTAGGTTGCTTCCCGAGGGTCAAAATCGTCCACACGTCGTCGAAAATCCACGGCCAGATTTATATTCCCGAAATTAACTGGATTTTGATGCTTCTTTGCTTGGCTGTCACTATCGGCTTTAGAGACACCAAACGTCTCGGTAATGCCTCAGGTAAAAAAATAAAAGAGTAGCCTTTAAAAACTGAAATGCTAAATGTCGTTACAATTTTACTGGTACCAACTGAATTTGGCGAAACTCGAACAAAAAAATTACCGTTTTGACATTTAAAGTCAAAACGGTACCAAAAGTTACTTATAATAAATAATAAAAGAAAGATATTTTTTTTTTGGAAATTAGGTTTGGCGGTTATAACGGTGATGCTAGTGACGACTTGCTTGATGTCACTCGTGATCGTCCTATGCTGGCACAAGAACGTGCTCCTAGCAATATCGTTCGTCCTCTTCTTCGGGTCGTTGGAGGCGTTGTACTTCTCCGCCTCCCTCATCAAGTTTCTAGAAGGTGCGTGGGTCCCGGTCGCCCTCTCGCTCTTCTTCATGGCTGTCATGTCCGTGTGGCACTACGGGACCCTCAAGAAGTACGAGTTCGACGTCCAGAACAAGGTCCCCGTCGACTGGCTCCTCGGCGCGGGCCCCACGCTGGGCCTCGTCAGGGTCCGCGGCATCGGCCTCATCCACACGGAGCTCGTCTCCGGAATCCCGGCCATCTTCTCACACTTTGTGGCGAACCTCCCCGCCTTTCATCAAGTGCTCGTTTTCCTGTGCGTAAAATCAGTACCGATCCCGCACGTCAGAAACGAGGAGCGGTTCCTCGTTGGGCGAATCGGGCCGAGGGCGCACCGTATCTACCGGTGCGTCGTCCGCTACGGGTACCGTGACAACCACAAGGACGACTTCGAGTTCGAAGACGAGCTCGTGTGTAGCATCGCGGAGTACATACGGACGGGTGGGGGAGAGGAAGAAACGGGGTCGAGAAACGGAGCAGCGGGTGGTGATGAAGATGATGACGACAATCATAAGGAAGATATGGTTGTGGTGGGGTCCGCCACTTCTGCGAGCAATTCAAGTGGGGTCCGATTGTACGAGGAGGGTGATGACGCGGCGGGGACGTCGTCGGCGGTGATTAAGACGAGGAAGAAGGTTAGATTCGTGATTCCGGAGAGTCCGAGGATGGATCGGAGTACGAGGGAGGAGTTGAGAGAAGTGATGGAAGCTAGAGAATGTGGGATGGCTTATATATTGGGGCATTCATATGTAAGGGCAAAAGGGGGATCAAGTTTTATAAAAAAGGTGGTGGTTAATTTTGGGTATGATTTTTTGAGGAGGAATTGTAGAGATCCTACTTATGCTTTGGGTTCACCTCATGCTTCTACTTTGGAAGTTGGAATGGTGTACCATGTTTGACCTTTTTTTTTTTTTTTTGAAGAAATTGTTTAAAGTATATTGTATATATTTGTATTTTGTATATTTTATTTTATTTTTCTTTTTGTAATTTCATCAAGATAGAGAAAGTTTTACTTTTACTTACTGATGTAAATTGGTGGAAAGAAAAAATTACAGTGATAACTGATATGGGCCTACTGTTGCTTTTTTTTGTTTGGGTATTGGGCTGAAATTTATGTAGGATATAATCCTTTTGTGTTGGGCCTACATTTAGTAATTTCTGGGCTTTGATTGAGCACACGAAAAATATTAAATAAGTGAAATGTTATTTTTGTTGCTCGTCGTTTTCTATCCCATTGCACAGATTAATCGATCCGCAGTATCGTCAATGACGAGTTGGACTAGTTAATCCGTTTTAAAAGTACTAATTGAAAAAATATTTAACTTAAAAATCATATTTTAAAATGCTGGATAATCAAAGG